AACATATGAGGTCACTGGGAATTGGCCCCTGTTGTGAATGCTCCAAGCAGCCCACCCGGCTTGGATAACTGGGCTGTCACCCTGTCCCCTCCGGGGCACGGACCTGGCTTTCTCCCTTTGCTCCTCTTCTCTGGCTCTCTAAGCTTGATTGTTCCTTGTTTCCAGGACATTATCACCCTGCTGTTTCTCGCTGACCACCCAAATCCCCTCCTCCAGCAAAGCCTCCCCTGGGTGCCAAGCTCCTGTGCAAATGGACGCTGCACATCCATCCCCACGTGGACCTGTCCCCACACCCACTGAAACATGGTTACAGCTGAGCTCTTCATAACTTCCCCAGCCTTGTAGCTTCCTCCTGCCTCAGCTTTCTCTACACCTGTCATTAGGCCCTCAGTAACAGTATGACAAATGTAATTGAAATTAGATTTTTCTGCTCAAATAATGTTCATTTAAATCTGGTCTCACCTCCACAGAAAAACTTGAAGAGGGTGGATTTTTCGTTCCCAAACTCAAACTGTAGGAAAGGCCCTGTCTGAAAGGAAGACTCCAGAAGGAGGTAAAGGAACCTGTGTAATTTAACCTCTGGCTCCTCTGCTTTTCTTCAGGCATCAGGCAGTGACAAACATATCCACCAGGGGGCAGCATCTGCTGCTTTCTAGCCCTGAGGCTGGGCGCTGAGACTGGGACTGGGTTTGGGGAGGGCTGCATCTGAAAGCGCCGCCTGTAGGGGAGAAGGGTGCCTAGGGGGCCCTTACTCACACAATTTTTTTTTTCACATTCATTCTAAGAGGCAGGATGTGTTTTCTCCCTTTTGTTCTTGAGGAAACTAAGCTGGGATTTGAAAAGTGGGTCTTTGTGGAGCGTCTGGCTGGCTCAGTGGGTAGAGCACGCCACTCTTGATCTCAGGGTTGTGAGTTCTAGTCCCACGTTGGGAGTAGAGTTGAAAAAAAAAACAATGAAAAGTGGGCCTTTGTGATTCCCACGCTGCCAGCTGCTCCTTGGGCCTCCCTCTTCTTCACTCCTACAGACTCCTCCCTTCACTTGTGCACTGGGACTGGTTAAGTGCTGTGGGGACCAGGATGTCCTCAGTCAGTTCCTCAGTGAGTTCCTTTATCCCTTATCATCTGCTTTTCCGGAATATAGATTATCGGTGGGGGAGGGGATCTGGTGTCACCATAGTCCCTCCGTTCCATGCTGCTGAGGAAACCAAGATCCTGTTGGTGGTGGTGGTGGTGGTGGTGTGTGTGTGTGGGGGGGGTAAGTGACTTTTCTAAGCCAGTCTACTACTGAGGGACAGGACTCACCATGACTCTCAGCCCAGCGTTTCTGCATCTTCTGTGTCATCTGCACCCCTGGCCTCTGTTTTTCTCCTTTCAGTAGACCCTCATCTTCAATAAAGACCTAAGAGTTCAATACTACCCAGACCTTGCACAGAAATGCAGGGTTTTATAGGCATTCCTGGCTAACCCAGTATCAACAGAAATCCCAAGGGCTCAGGAACCCCAGACCAGGAAGCTTCCGTGGATGTTCAGTTCCCACACTCAGGGACACCCCTTAGTACATCAATCATTCTGTCACGCAGTCATGAATTCCCGCAAGGCTTCCCGCCTGCCTCTTGTGTGTTAGGCACAGTGCTGGGCACCTTAGAGCTTTAGATGACAAGAACCAGCTCCTGGACTCAGGGCTTAGTCTGGTGAGGAGAGAACTCTGGAGAAGAACCATGACGTAGCACCTGGAATTTCATCCGGGTAGGGGAGCCAACAGAAGGAGGAAGGTAGGTCCCAGCTAGTCCATGATTCTGCTTTGAATGCTTACCTGATTCTTTGTCACTTAAACCCTGGCTCTAATGTCTCTAATTTCACCTGTTGGAGATGCCTTTCTGAACACGCTGCTCCCCCACCCCCCCGCACCCCCGATCTGAAGTAGCTCCTTCCCAAGTCTCTCTCTAGAACGTCTCCAGGTTTTATTTCCCCTGATGGCATGTATCACTATCTGAAACTACCCTCTTCTCCTCCTCCTCCTCTAATGTTTATTTTGAGAGAGAGACAGAGCGTGAGCAGGAGAGGGGCAGAGAGAGAGGAAGACACAGAATCGGAAGCAGGCTCCAGGCTCTGAGCTGTCAGCACAGAGCCCGATGTGGGGCTCGAACTTGTGAATTATGAGATCATGACCTGAGCCGAAGTGGGACGCTTAACTGACTGAGCCACCCAGGCACCCCTGCAATTATATCCTTATTCATTGCCTGTCTCTCCTCACTCCCCACTACACTGCAGGCAGGCAGGTCCTTATCTGGCTCACTCTGGGCTGTGTGCTCGGAACCTAGCAGGTACTCTGTATATGACTGTTCAATGGATGAATGTTCAAGTGTTCTCTCTAGTGAATACCCCAGCACAGTAGGTCTTGGGCTGTGATCTTGTGGAGAGAAAAGGCTGCAGAGGTGAGGCTGCCAGGAAGGAAAATGGTCATTAATGGAGCAAGGCTCCCTGGAGCCAGGATGGGGGGAGAAGGGGACAGGAACTGGAGCTCCTATTTAAAGGAGACAAATTGGGGTAGGCCCACAGCGCAGGCTGGGCCCCTTCCTTCACCTCTCCCTGCCCCACCTCCTCCTTCCCATTTGTCCATCAACACCTCTGGCAAACAAGAATGATGAAGGTGGGGTGGGATTGCCAGTCTCATTGCTTTTATGAGATAATCAAGTGACAGCTTCCATGGTGGCTGTGAGGCCCAGGAGATACAGGAGAAACGTTCAAGAAGTTTCAAAGGTTGCAGAAGAAGCATAAGATGATCTGTGTATTTTTTGTTTCTGTATGTTTTCAGTTTCACGGCCATCGTAACATTTGCTCAAAGCCAAGTTTGGCCAATTTCTAACTGGGTGACCTTGGACAAATTACCTAACCTTTCTTCTTTCCGGAGTAACCATACTTACTTTTGGGTTGAGTTGTATATCAAAAAAGGAAAAATATAGGCCACCTGGCTGGCTCAGCCGGTTGAGCACGGGGCTCTTGATCTCAGGGTCGTGAGTTCAGGCCCTAGATTGGGTGCAGAGCCTATTTAAAAAATAAATAAATAAAAATTTTAAGAAAATTGAAAAGGAAAAGTGTGCAGAATTCTCAGACCAGAGCCTGGCATGCAGGGGCCACTCAACACAGTGCTGGTTTCCCCCTTCTTCGACTACTCGGTCTTCCCCTTTCCTGACACAGGCCACCTCTGTGTTTAGCTCCAGTGGCCATCTGCCCCACCCTAACATGGAGTGTAATGCTAATTTCCTATGGTCTTGATGTTTTCAGGGATTCAGGGAGGCTCCCTGCATTGCTGGGGAAATCAGGTGGCTGGGTTTGCAAGAGGGAGGGGAAGAAGGAGGTCACAAGGCAGTGTGATGCTAACACATGGGAGGCAGTTCAGCGGGCAGGAAAGGGCTAGGTCCTCCTGTCTAGCTGTGATTTCCCCTACTCATTTTCTTTCTTTCTTTCTTTTTTTAAAAACATTTTAAAAAGTTTATTTATTTTGAGGGAGTGAGCGGGCAAGCCGGAGAGAGTGCATGCGAGAGGAAGGGGCTGAGAGAGAGAAAGAGAGAGAGAGACAGAGACAGAGAGAGACAGAGGGAGACAGAGAATCCCAAGCAGGCTTCTTACTGTCCATGCAAAGCCCGACTCAGGGCTCGAACCCATGAACCGTGAGATCTTGACCAAAGCTGAAGTCAGATGCTTAACAGACTGAGCCATCCAGGCACTCCCCCTATTCTTTTTCTGATCCTCCTAAAATTATAACCTTTAAAATAGCTTAATATTGAATCACATAATAAATGTAAGAATCCAGACTCCTTGTAAAAATGGAAATATTCTCCCTTGATCCTCCTCCCCTCCTTAAGTTTTACCTACCTCCCATCACTGGAATATCATCACTGATATTTCTTTGGTCACACTGTCTCTTTGTGACATCTCCTCCTCTTCAGGGCTGTATCAGACTGAAATGACTGGGGGGATGCCACTCAGTCCCATCCCCCTCCTCACCAATCCCACACAGGCCTCACTAACTTATAGAAACCTTTCCAGAGGCTTCCACTTCACACTTACTGTCCCTCCTCTGAAGTCCTACAAGGACTTATCTCCGATTTACGAAAGTCCAGTGTTCCTTGTCAGGGGCCAGTCTTGGTTTTTTTCCACTAGAGTGTGAGTCCTCTGAGGCCAGACTATATCCCCATAGTCTGTCTGGCAGAGCACACAGTATGAATGAGGTCAATGAAGTGAAGAATTCTCTTTATTTTTTAAACAAGGGGGGGCCCTTGGGGTGTCTGCTTCTGGTCAGTACTCTAACCAGCACCCGAGGGATTTCCCCTGAGGATGCCTAACCCTATAGCCTCCCTAATGAGAAAGGGCAGGTAATTATGCCCTCAGGGGCCCAGACCAGATTCAGAGAGATCCTAGGGCAGCCACTTCCTGGTGAGGCGACCTTAGACAAGTCACTGAACCCTTCAGAGCTTTCTCCCCCTGTAGAATGCAGACAGCACCAGTTCCCGCCTCACCCGCTGCTGTGAGAATAAATAGTGGTAACGAGCTTAGGGTTAGGCTGTCTTCTGAGGTTCCAGGTTTACACAGGTTTTGAATACTGACTTAGGAAAGATAAAGGAGTAAGATTTGTCAGCATGTCCAGTAGACCCTGGCGGAGGGAGTGTACCTGTGGGGTGGCTACCTCTCTGGGGGAGGGGGATGCGTGTATTGAGTATTAAGCTCTGACCTCTCTTACCTAGTTAAACGTTATCACATTTGTCCCTCCTATTTTCCATCCCGAGTTTAACCTCCAAATATTAAAGTGTGGTAGAAAAGATCAAATTAAACGGTCAGTAATTGACTAGACGTCCGTCCCTGTGTTGTCTGGGTTGCAGCGCAAGTATCTCCGAGCCCCGCCCCTCCTCGCCGCTGCCAGACAGCCGATTGGCCCGCGCTGCGTGACGTCACGGGAGGCTTTTTAAGGCCGAGTCTCTGAGCCTGCTCCGCAGTGGCGGTGGTGGCGGCGCGCCGGCGGCCGGCTTGGGGCTTCGCTTGGAGTCTCGGGTGGCTTGTCCGGAGGGAAGCGGGGAGAGTGCGGCTGACGGAAGGTAAAGGGGCCGTTCAGGCGGTGCTGAGATGGCGCCAGTATGGGACCTGGGGAGCTCAATTCGGCGATCCGAGCCAGGCGAAGTGTTATGGGACGGTGGGAAGGGGGTCGCGGTGTAAGGAGAGGTGTGTCAACTGCCTGGGGATGTAGAGGGCTGGTGGGAGCGGGCCTTACTCTCTGGTCTCAGCGCCCCCGCCCGTACCCTAAGTCTGAATTTGGGGACTCTGCCTGACCTGCCCATTCCTGCGAGGATTCTCGCCTGGGGAGTAAGGGTTCTCTGCTACCGTGCCACGAGAGCTCGGAGAAGAGGCGCGGGAAGCCACTGTCTGCAGATTGAGGCCTCACCCCACCCCTCCAACCTGCGTCCGGGTTTCCCTAGGTCCCCTCGCCCCTGAGAGAGGAGAGCACCTCTGTTACATTTGTAGCTGCTTAAAAAACAAAACAAAAAATGGAATTTTAAAAAGGAAGGATGGGCGGCTGATTTAGGAAAGGATCTCGAAGTTGCAAATTTCACGTTTATTGTTAAACGCCCCCCACCCCTTCTTTTTTCTCCCATGACCTTTACTTGTTCAGATAACCCAGCTGTGGTCTCCAGAGCCTGCAATTCAAAGCCACGTCCTTGCTTCTACTCGTGCGCCCCCAGGACCTGCTCCTAAGCTGCAGCTAACCATGGGGAACCACCTGACCGAGATGGCGCCCACTGCCTCCTCTTTCTTGCCCCACTTCCAGGCCCTGCATGTCGTGGTCATTGGGCTGGACTCGGCTGGGAAGACCTCGCTCCTTTACCGCCTCAAGTTCAAGGAGTTTGTCCAGAGCGTCCCCACCAAAGGCTTCAACACAGAGAAGATCCGGGTGCCTCTGGGGGGGTCTCGCGGGATCTCCTTCCAAGTGTGGGATGTTGGGGGGCAAGAAAAGCTGCGGCCCCTCTGGCGCTCCTACACCCGACGGACGGATGGGCTGGTGTTTGTGGTGGATGCTGCGGAGGCTGAGCGCCTGGAGGAGGCCAAGGTGGAGCTGCACCGGATCAGCCGGGCTTCGGACAACCAGGGAGTGCCTGTGCTGGTGCTGGCCAACAAGCAGGACCAGCCTGGGGCACTGAGCGCAGCAGAGGTTGAGAAGAGGCTTGCGGTTCGAGAGCTTGCAGCAGCCACGCTCACCCATGTGCAAGGCTGCAGCGCTGTGGATGGGCTGGGCTTGCAGCCGGGTCTTGAGCGCCTGTATGAGATGATCCTCAAACGGAAGAAGGCTGCCCGGGGAGGCAAGAAGAGACGGTGACCCGAGGCTGTCCCCTCCTCAGCAGTAGGGGTCTGCACACCCGGACAGCCAGGCGGAGCCCCTCACTCAGCTCTGGGGCGCGGGACCGTCCACCTCCAGGAAGGATCGAGGAGCACGCTGGGCGTCCTGTTTGGTGCAGCGCTGGGAGGGGGTGGGAGATGGGATGTTTCTCACATCCTTCCCTCATCCTCACCTTCGGAGAAACCGCGGCTGCAAGATTGGGGAGGCTTAAATGTCAACTGTGACTCTACCTCGACCCTGTTTCTTCTTTTGCTCCTCTGGCTTTTTGATTAGATGTGTTTTGGGGCAAAAGAAGGTTATTTGGAGAATTCATCTGGGATGAACGAGGGCTATCTCTCCCCTGACCAACTCCCCCCGCAGCCCCCCCCCCCCCAGCTGGGGTGTCTCCTCAGGCTGCTTTTCTAGGGATGCTAGTCACAATAGTCTTTATTTTTGTGTCCGTGTGAAAGTGCCAAGAACCCCTCCACATTTGTAGATCCACAACCATTTTTATAAGCTGTGTGTGTCCTCTGTATTATTAACTATTTTTTAGCATTTGCCTATAAGTTATTAAAGCCTGATGATGCTGTAGCTCTGACCTTGGTCTGGCATTTTCCTCTCTCCTTACCTAGTCCCAGGAGTGGTCCTAGGTTTCTATCCGGGTGGCGGAATGGGGAGGGGGAGCTTACCTTGAAGCTGAATTTGCAAAGGAAACACTCCTCTAAAAGTCAGACTGTGTGTTTATGGGACGGCTGGTGGACATTGCAGATGGAGTTGAAATGCCCTCATGACTCTCAAGCTATTACCTGATTTCCGCAGTTTTTTGGGAGTATCCCTTCTTTCTCCTGCCTTTCTCCTCTCCCCTCCCCCTCTGGCTCTTACTTGCCCCTCATACCAGCTGGTCCTTGGGGACACTTCCTAGGTCTATATAGGTAAAACCTCAAGGAGTCATTCTGTTCTCATCCTCCCCCACTCCCCCAGCAAACCCCCTCCCCCCACCCTCAGATCAGGCTGATCCGATTTTTTTTTCCACCTAGGGGGGTCCTGTGAGAATGGAAAGTAATTCCTTCCTGGCTTTAAGCCATCTCCTTGCGCTCAGTCCTGCTGACGGCAAGTCACAGGCAGCGGCTGGTGCTGGGGAGGCCTGGGCTGGATTGAGCCAGCCTGGCCCTGGTGACTAAGCCATGAGTTGCCCAGCTCTGGGAATGGTAGCTGTTCCCACCAGAGGGGCTGTTGTTGCAGCAGCTGTTTGTGCCTGGTGGGTGGGAGTGTGGCCTGCCAGACACTCACCCCCTGACCACTGTGGGGGGGGGGGGAAGGTGTAGGCCACCACCAGTAGTGATAAGAATAAAATGCTAATGTTTTGAGGTCCTGAAGGCCTTTGCCCAGACTTTTAAGTCTGTCCCCTCCACCAACACCCAGGGCCAGCTGAGTCTGAGATAATGAACGGTCAAATCCTCCTAAATCTGAGTAAGAGCAGTGAATAAAAACCAAGCACAATTGTTTCCAGCTCTCAGGCCCCCAGTGCCTCAGCCTTACCCTTTGTGCAAACGTGGGAGTCCCCACTCCAGAATCACGTAAACAACCTGGGGAGGAAGAGAAGGTGCTGGCAATACCATCCTGCGGGGAGACTTCCTAAGGAACTTGCTGCTTCCTAGCCAGGGCCAGCAGAAGCTTAATTTTGCTGTGGAATCTGGGCCCGTTTGGATTTGTCCCCCCTTCATGGCTGGCAGGATGCAGGTGGGTATGCATCAATCCGGAAGGGTGCCCAAGTGTGCGTCAACGCGGGGCCTGCTCGACAGAGCTGCCGGGCTGGTTCTGCTGGGCACGCATGCTACCTGGCCCCTCTCTGCACACGCCCGTGACTCATCTCACTCAGTCCTCCAGGCAGAGTCCTCTCTCCTGCAGCCCAAGAACAGACTAGGGAGGACCTGGTTAGAGGGGCCTCTGCCTTGGTGTGAGATCTTTTATACCCGCTCCACCCCAGTAATGTTCTTTTGTCTCAAAGTCTCCAAGGACATGTTTTCTCCATTTCTGGTCACCTAGGGGACTGAGGTCTCAACATCCGGAAGAAGAGCACCTACTCCCCCCCTTCCCCCCCCAGCAGAGGGGCCTCCATGGCACCTACCCCCGGTTCTGGCTCTGCCAACCACCTGGCCTCCCTATCTGATGAGAACTGTCGTCTGCTCCCCCAGGCTCCAGCCCCGGTCAAGGGCCATGGTCCGCGGCAGACCTGCGGATGTCCCAGCTCTTCCCCACATCCCTCTGGCCTGACCAGCTGATGGGGGTGGAAGAAGACCTGTTAGCAGAGAGACTGAGATGGAGAAGCCAGCTGCTTTGGAGGGGTTGTAGAGAGAGGGAAGCACTGAAGATTCTGGTTAGAAAGCTCCATTCTGGTTGCGAAGAAGGTTAGGGGCTTTGGAATAAGCCCCCTGCCTTGGTCCATCCTGCCCCAGGGATTCTGCATTCTGTGAGCTCTGGGCCACAGGCTAGGAATGGGGGTGGGATCAGGGTTGGGGGTAGGCTGTAGTTTCCTTGTCTTAGCTTCTTTATCAGGTAGAATTTCTTTGAGGCTCTGAGATGGATGTTGAGATGCTGAGGGTAGAGGGTCTCAGGGGGGCAGGAGTGGTGTTTGGGGGCTGGATGACTATGGGTGGAGTTGAAAGAAGCTGATGGGCCAAGAGTTTGGGCTGCCCTTCCCCCACCAGCCACCTCCTCTCCCCGCAGAAGCTGGATGGTAAAATCCAGCTGAGAGCACTTTCCTTGGGGGTGTTGCCCATCCCCAAGGAAAGAAGGCAGTGGTCCCTCACCTTCCCAGGCTCTCTCCAGTCCTCCTATGCTGCATATGCTCCAGGAAGAGAAAAAACAAAGAGGAAAGAAAGAAATCTCTAAGGCCCAGAGGGGGCAGCAACTTGCCCGAGGACACGCAGCTACTTAGTGGCACATCCAGATCCTTCTTCCCAGGCTGGCTCTTCGACCTCCCAGGGCCAGACAGATAGGAGACAGGCAGAAGTCTAGCAACTCAGAGCTCTGACCTCCCCTTCCCTCCCTTCTTCCTTCCCTTGGTTCGGTCCCCTCCCTGATTAGTTCAAGGACCAGCTTTCCGCTCCCCCCTCCCCTTCCTGAGGAGTTTAGAGCTTTATCTCTGAAGCCCGGCAGAACTCTGGCCTCAGATCTGGCCAGAAGTCCCTACCCTCCTTTCGCGCTGACCGCATGTCATCCTAAGTCTTGAGATGGACATCTCTGGCAGGGAAGCACAGACACCCGGGGTACGCAGGACAGGGTGTTCTCCAACACAGGCCTGTTTTGAACGGAGGCCAGTGGGAGCGGAGGGAGTGAAGGCAGTGAGGGGACCCAGGCCAGCACTGGGCTGTAAAGGGTGGCTAGTCTGTAGCCACACATCACTTACAAGGCCATCAGCTGGGGCGTTTGCGGGTGGAAGTCACAGGACCTCCACCCCTGGCTAAATGAGAGGAGGGATTTGTTCTTCCTTCCTTAAAAAAAAAAAAAAAAGTTTTTAACTGTTCTCCCCCTCTCCTGCCTGATTACAAAAATAATAGATCTTTTTGTGAAAGAAACTGAAGAAAATGGAGAACACCCTAATCTAAATTTCAGAGTTAGCTGAATGTCATGGACAGGTTTTTATATAAAATCTTTCAGATATTTTTTTCTCTACGTATACAAAAGAGGTATGTATTTATATATAACCACACAGGGAATTATATAAGGCATATTGTGTTACCATTTCACTTTTCTCATTTATATCTTGGGCATCATTCAATGTTGAGACATACAGATTTTTCTCATTCTTCTTGATGACTACGTGAGATTCCACTGTAGGAATGGGCCATCATTTCTTAATTAAATCCTCTGTTACATTCATAGTGTGTCCACAGCAATGGACCGCCTTGCACATACGTATTTTTTTAATGTTTTATTTATTTTTGAGAGAGAGAGAGAGAGAGAGACAGAGTATGAATGGGGAAGGGGCAGAGAGAGACGGAGACACAGAATCCTTGAAGAGGGCTCTAGTCTCTGAACTGTCAGCACACGGCCTGACATGGGGCTCGAACTCATGAACCACAAGATCATGACCTGAGCAGAAGTTGGAAGCTTAACTGACTGAGCCACTCAGGCGCCCCCACATATATATCTTTTTAAGTATTTATTTTGAGAGAGATAGAAAATGCAAGTCGGAGAGCAGTAGAGAGAGAAAGCGAGAGAATCCCAAGCAGGTTCTACACTTTCAGGGGAGAGCCTGACGTGGTCCTCAAACCCACAAACCATGAGGTCATGACCTGAGCTGAAGTCGGATCCTTAACTGGTGTTGAGTCCCCGAGGTGTCCCTTTGCACATACTGCTTGTAAGATAAATCCCTAGACATGTAATCGTTGTATCAAAGGGTATGTATAATCGGATTTTCATAGGCACTGCTAAAATGTGTATGTAGAGAGGGTTTGGGGGGGAAGGAACTTTAATCCAGGCTCCTCATCCTCCATCCCCGGATTTCAAGGACTCTTCAAGCCAAGGGGTGTGTATGTGTATGGGGGTGGACATTGTAATGCCCTTGCTTTGGGGAGATAAGAAATAAAACCACCAGCCACTTGGCAGAGGATTTGCATGTGTGGGAGTGAGCTTGAGCTGACTTTCCTGGTCTGGGAGCTGAGCCCCATGGAGGCTGCCTGGTGGATGGCGGAGGGGGGCAGATGGTGAGGACTCCCTGAGCACCCAGTTTCTCGCAGACGTCAGGCAGAGTGGGCGAAACATCTCCTGAAATAAATCCCGGCGAGTCAGGGAGGGAGTCAGGCTGAGACAAGAAGGGAAGGCTCTGAAGGGAGCGTGGAGAGGAGTTCTTCAGTTGGAAGAAGGGCCAACGGGACCCCGGGCCTCCCCCGGGTGACCCCTACCCTTCTAGTGGGGACCCCCACCAGTTGCTTTAGGGTATGGGCTCCTTGAACAGGATGCAGGAGCCTGAAGTATTAGATACATTGACACTCTGAGCTGTTTGGGGCTCCACTTCTCTGTCCATTCAGGTGCCGGGGCTAATCTTCAGTCGGTGTCCCTGCAGAATGGGGTGGGGAAGGCAGGAGGGCTTATCTCTTGAGCTCCTCCCACCCCCTCCTATGAAATCTGGTGAACAGTTTGGTGGAGTTGCCCAGGGATGACAGCTGGGTTTTAAAGATTGCTGAGAGTAAGGTTTTGTGCTTTTGATTGTGTTTGTTTTTGCAAGATTATCCATTGCCTTCCATTCCAGATGCTGACTCTTATCCTTAGGGAGTGAGAAGGCAGAACTGCTTACTCACTCTCTGGAACTCTCCCAGGCTGATGGGGGAGGAACAGAGCCACTAGTCTGACCAGGCAGCACCTCAGAAAGTACCCCACAATTGGCCTCAGTCTACCCATCTGTAAAGTGAGAGGGCTGAGTAGACAGTATTGGATCTTTTCTGGTTCACTTTTTTCTTTATGTTTATTTAGTTTTGAGAGAGAGAGAGAGAAAGCGAGCACAGCAGGGGAGTGGAAGAGAGAGAGAGGGAGACACAGAATGGGAAGCAGGCTCTAGGCTCTGAGCTGTCAGCATAGAGGCTGACATGGGGCTCAAACTCATGAACTGTAAGATCATGACCTGAGCTGAAGTCGGACATTCAGCCGATTGAGCCACCCAGGTGCCCCCCCCTTTTCTTTTCTTCTTCTTCTCCTCCTCCTTCTTCTAACCTTTATTTACTTATTTTTTAGAGAGAGAGAGAGCAAGCGAGCAGGGGAAGGGCAGAGAGAGAGGGAGACACAATTTCAATCAGGCTCTGTGCTGTCTGTGCAGAGCCTGATGCAGGGCTTGAACTCACAAACCGTGAGATCATGACCTAAGCTTAAACCAAGAGTTGGATGCTTAGGCGACTGAGCCACCCAGGTGCCTGTCTGGTTCACTTTCTATATTCACTTTCTACTTGTACTGGTTCTCAGTACAAGGTGGGCATGGGGAACTCCTTCATGATCTTTTGCCTTCATTTTATCACTCTCTAAAATTATCTTACTTATTTTGTTTTTTTAAGTTTGTTTGCTGTCTGCCTTCGTCTCCAGTCCATCCACTCTAGGAGGACAGCCCTGATTCATTTGTTCACCACTGCATCCCTAGGACAGCGGTGGGCACACAGTAGAAGCTCATCTCATATCTGTGATCTGTGGGTGTCCATTCAAGGGTTGGAGGGTTGGGATATCACCTCAGTGAAGAAGTGGTTTTAGTCTATAAATACTAACAGCAACCAGGAGAAAAGTTATCAAGTGAGGTGGGAGAGTTTAATCTGGGAAGGCTTCCTGGAGGAGGTGAAGAAAAGAAACAGGTTTGGAATCCAAGTTAAATATTTGGATTAACAAGGGACTTGGAGGACCATGGGTTCTGGAGCACTTTCTTGGCTCTAGGAGAGAGCTCAAAAGAAAAGACCTGAGTCTGAGGTTTAATAGACATAGTTTCGTTCCTCCCTTCCCAGTAATTAGTTACCTGACCTAGGACGCTCCCTAGAGTCTGTTTACCACTCCCCTACTGCAGCTCCTCCCAAGGTTACCCCAGGATAGTCAAGCTAGACTCCCATTCTTTCACCCCAGAGGAGCTGAGTGTGGGGCTGGTTACAGGGAAGGGACCACCAAAGAACTTTAGACCTGTATTGTCCAATATGGCAGCCATCAGCCACACGTGGTGGCCAAGCTCTGGAAATGTGGCTGAACTGAACTGAAAGTATGCTCTAAGTGTGAAATACAACAGATTTCGAAGAGTTAGTAAGAGAAAATAATGTAAAATATCTCATTAATACTTTTTATGTAGAGTATATGTTGAAATGATACTTTTTGGTATCATTTCATATATTTATATGAATCTATGAGGTTAAGTATAACCCATATATTTAACTGGGTTAAATAAAATAGTTTGTTAAAAAAAAAAGAAAATAGGCGTGCCTGGGTGGCTCAGTCGGTTAAGCATCAGACTTCGGCTCAGGTCATGATCTCATGGTTCATGAGTTCAAGCCCTGGGTCTGGCTCTGTGCTGACAGCTTAGAGCCTGGAGCCTGCTTCGGATTCTGTTTCTCTCTCTCTCTGCCCCTCCCCTGCTCATGCTCTGTCTCTCAAAAATAAACATTAAAAAAAGAAGAAAATACTTTACTAAGATTAGTTTCACCTGTTTTTGTTTCCCTTTAAAAAAATACAGCTAACAGAAATTCTGTAATTACAGCTGTGGTTCACTTTCAACTTCTACTGACAATGCAGTTCCAAATATTTGGCAGAAGGAGCATCGTGGAGAAAAGAATGGGAGATCCACAGTTCTTCCTTTCTTCTGAAATGAGAAGAGCTTTTAGGATAGGTGAAGACTTTGCATATCTTGAATCTTCCTTAAACATCTTCTCAAACTATGCTTCTCAATGACGCCAACCTGGTTATTAGTAGGCGATTTTCCTCACTTCTTTCAGGGTGTTTTCACTCTATGAACAGCTATTTATTTGTTTATTTATTTATTAATAGTTCATTTTTAAAGCAATTTTTACACCCAGTGTGAGGCTTGAACTCAAAACTCCAAGATCAAGAGTCTCATGCTTTACCCACTGAGCCAGCCAGGTGCCCTTATAAAAGCTCTTTATTTCTTTGTGTATTTAAAATGTTTTTTACCACTTGTTTTTGAGAGAGAGAGAGAGGGCGTGAGTGCGTGAGCAGGAGAGGGGCAGAAAGAGAAAGAGACACAAAGTCCGAAGCAAGTCCCGGGCTCTGAGCTGTCAGCACAGAGCCCACTTAGGGCTCGAACCCAGGAACCATGAGATCATGACCTGAGCCAAAGTCAGATGCTCAATGCTCAATGGACTGAGCCACCCAGGTGCCCCACCCCTAGTAAAGCTTTTTAAATGACTATTTCATGTGGAGCCCAGATACCTGCAATCCACACAAAAATCCTGATGTGATTTTATCTAGTAGTTTCTGATCTTTCACCAGATGGTGTGATAGCAGCAGCAGTGTCGACTGAGCTTTCATCATCTTGCCCTCCCTGCTGCCTTCCTCTGCCCAGCCCTACATGCCCCCATAACCCCCCTCCCCCGACACCTCCTACACGCTCCCCTGCACAAAAGTCCTGGAACAAAGAGGGGGGGCTCAGGCAGGCAATGGGAAGATGCCAGCTAGGGATCTGGATAATCCACAAACTGCATTATCTGCCCAGGAGTTTGCACATGCATAAGCAGGTGGCCTAGATGCAGACAAGATGCACTGGGATGAGCCAAGGGGATCAGGTTAACACCTTGTGTGTGACACTGTGTGTGCATCTTTTAAGGGGGGAGGGCACTCGTACAATAAAAACCCCACCCACTTTTCTCCCATCCTGAGCATCAACCCAATCAATCACTCCAGTTTTTATTTTTAAGTTTATTGTGTGAGAGAGAGGGTGAGCAGGGGAGTGGCAGAGAGCGAAGAAGAGAGAGGAAGAATCCCAAGCAGTCCCTGCACTGTCAGGGCAGAGCCCAACTCGGGGCTCAATCCCATGCACCGTGAGATCATGACCTGAGCTGAAATCGAGTCAGACGCTTAACTGACTGAGCCACCCAGGTGCCCCAATCACTCCTTTCAAACAACCATTTACAATACGATATTTAGCATTTTTTGTGCACAGCCTTACCATCCTAGGCACCAGAGCCAAGGTGTGATTCGTACACAAGGAAGGTGTCCTGGATCTGGTTTCCTGGATGCAGAGCCTGAGACAAGGGTTCGGGGGGCACGTGGTTTACTGAAGGCAAATTTTCAGGAGAAAGGTGGGGGGGGAAGCAGGAGGGAACAGGGGAGGGGCTACACAAGGATGTAGTCTCACAATCGGAGTCTAAAGCCAGCGTGATCCTGTGGGGAAGCTCTGGTTGGAGGAATTCACCTCTAAAAGGATCCCCCCAGAGGCAGAGAGCCTAGCCTTTGAGACCCCATCAGTCAGCTAACTGGTTGCCACTTGCTCAAGTCTCCAGAGAAGGAGCAACTGGGAGCCATTGGAACCAAGAGTCGCAGCCAGTGGAGGGGGTCTGGGTGGGGTGTCAAGGGCATCCTCTCGGGCGGAGCCCCTGAAGAGAAGAGCGAGCTGCCCTTGGCAAACCTGAGTCCTGACTGCTGGCCTTGTTTGGCAATCCAGTTCTCTTTCTGTTCTTGGCCTCAGCCTCAGGCCTTATCTGTCCTTGCCCCGCCTTGTTTCTCCTTCTAGGACTGTTTCTTTGTCACCCCCCATTCCCCCGCAAAACACACACCTGCCCTTCGTTCCTGCCTCTGATGCTGCCCTCTCCCTTCTGGAGATTTATCTGAAACTCAAGATGAAATGCTGTTTCTTCGAGAGCCTACAAGAAGCCGGGGCTACTGAGTCATCCCTTTGACCTCTTTCCTTTCCCGTGGGTCAGCTGAGCCCCACTGCTCCCCTAGGCAGAAAGCCCTGGTGTGCCAGGGGACTTTTGAACCGCACCCCTCCTCTTGGGCCCCTCCCTTTCCTGGGTGTGTCCATCCTTACCTCTCCGGCAGAAGGGACAGTTCAGGAGAAATTCATTCTCCAGGCTTGACTCCTACTTTAACATCACAGGATACATTCCCTGGAAGGGAAGGGTGGGATCCAGGCTGGCTTCCTTAGAGACTTCAGAACAGAAGAGACGCCTCCTTTCTCTGACACCCTCCCAGAGTCAAACAGGGAGTGATGGAGAGGAAGAGATGATTGTTTCTGCCCAAACTAGGAGATGGATGGTCTGATCTCCAAAACTTCTTTTTCTCTGGCACAGCCCAATTTGTAGAGGTGCCAGGATTCTGAGGCAAAAAGCAAGAGAGAGAAAAAGGGCATTCTTTGAGGGCATTTAGCTGCATTTTTACACCCAAAATGACAAAGAGAGGGTCCAATGTTAGGTCCTCCACGTCTTCCTGTGATATGTCACACCACACAAACATACACACACACACATACACACACACTCTCTCTCTTTCTCTTTCTCACATTGTTGAAACCAGAGCTGCTGGCTCCAGGGAGGGGAGTGAGGAAGCAGCTGTGGACAGGTGTAGGTGGCCGCATACCTCTCCTTCTGGGAGGTGACACTTCCACTACACCTCCACAGGTTTCATCCGAACCTCACCCCAGCCCTGGCTCTGTGTAGTCAGGGTGGGCAGGAGGGACAGATTGCCCCAATGCCAACAAGAAGAGCATCCTTAACAGGCTCTTGAAATGTCAGCAAATCAATTCTCCCAAGAACTAAATCGGAAGGAAACTCAGCTTAAAGAACAGCGACGGGGTGCGCCTGGGTGGCTCATTCAGTTGAGCATTGGATCTCGGCTCAGGTCATGATCTCGCAGTTCCTGAGCTCGAGCCCCATGTTGAGCTCTGTGCTGACAGCTCAGAGCCTGGAGTCTGCTTCACATTCTGTGTCTCCCTCTCTCTCTGTCCCTCCCCCACCCCGCTCTGTCTCTTGCTCTCAAAAATAAATAAACATTAAAAAAAATCAAAACAGTTCAGTGGGCCTAGATTGCCAGGTGAACTTCAGTGATGATTGGGAGAAGCACCCTGGAGAAGTTCATAGGAGCACCCATCCTTTGGTATATCGTCTGAAGGCAGGGTAAGGGGCTAGGATAAAGTCTGGGGTTTAGACTGGGGAAAATGACCCTGGCAGTCCAAAGCATTTAGCATCTCTGAATCAGGGCAAGGAACTGCCTGGCTGGACATGTCACCCCCATTAGGCTGGGGCTGGGGCTGTAATTGCTGTAATTCGTTGATGAATGCAATTTGCGGCTGGCTTCTCTCCCTGTGACAGGCCTCAATTAGAGCTGCCAGAAGGATCTGGGGTGAGGGGGAGCTGGGTTGTTTCCAAGAGCTTCTCCTGCTACCCTCTCAGTTCTTTGCTCCACCCTAAACCAAGAGGGGACTCTTTAGGCTAATAAATTATCATCCTCCCCTGTCCGCTGAATTTACCCCCAGAGATATAATCTCAGAATGACTGGTATCGGAGTTGAGAGGGAGAAAGGCATAAAATGAAGGATGCTTTCCTGCAGATTGGTCTGGGATGCTATGGATTTTAAAACTCAACCATGTTTGGGGCACTTGGGTGGCTCAGTTGGTTGTATCCAACTTAGGCTCAGGTCATGATCTCATGGTTCATGGGCTTGAGCCCTGCATCCCTGCTTTGGATCCTGTCTCCCTCTCTCTCTGCTCTTGTGCTCTCTCTCTCTCAAAAATAAACAAACATTTAAAAAAAACCTTCAACCATGTTTGATTAAGTTTCGTATTTTCTCATTTATTCTAGAGCTTCTGGAAGCCCTAAAAAGAAGAAAGACGTTTGAGCCAAAATACTTATGTCTATCTTGTAGTCCCCACTCCATCTCACCAGACAAAGGAAAAAAGCCAAGTCAGAATGATGGAAAAGAGAGAGAGTAAAAAAGAGAGAAATGAGCTCCACATAGATACATAATTTTAATTTTAAAAGACTGCAGGGACACCAGAGAGCATTTAATCCAGTGGTTTTCAGACTTTTTTTTAAAAAAAGCAGTGAGAAGGTTTCTTCAAACAAAATCTACCATAGACGCCCAGTATGTAGGACGAGTCATGGCTAATCCAGTTATAGTGCAAATGGGGGCTCTGAGCCCCCTGGACTGTCCTTCATTCCAAGTCCTGCCCCACCCCCCCTTCCTGCCTCCTGACTTCAGAAAGTTGCGCATACCAAGGAATCTCCTAAACATGGGAAGACTGGGGCAGTTGGTTGCCTTATATTCAATGGAACTGAGTTAGAAAACCACTAATACAATCCTTTTGATTTTTTAAACACACGAGGCCAAGGGAGGTGATGTGGTTTAAAGTCTCATGGGTAGATTCTGCATGCCCAGGGAGAAGCCTATAGCTTAGGAGGTGTAGCCTATGTCTCTGTGAGAGGAAAGATTGCCCACCTTCAAATCTCTTTTCTCTTTCAAGACCCTTCCTTATGAAGCCTTCCCTGTGTTCCCTAGAAGAGTTATATCCTATCTTCTAATTCTTCTTTTTGAGCACTTACTAGGTAGTCATTTTTTACTTTGGGTCTTTCTCCTCATTTGGACTGGAAGATTCTTGATCCCATGTCTTATTTATTTCAAATCTCTCAGTGGCTAGTACAGTGTCTGGAATACAACAGATATTCAAATAAATGTTTTTAGATGTATGATAGCTAGCTAGCTAGATGGCTAGATGGCTAGATAGGCAGATGTGTGGAGAGGTAGATGGATGAATGGATGACTTGGATAGATGGAAGCAATTAGTGGATATAAAGATGGATGGATAGAAGGCTGAATGCTGTGTTGAATTCCTAGCGATGGAACAATTAGGCAGTTTCTAGGCAACTTCCGCTTACATGGAGTTCCCTTAAATGGCCATTTTGCTTGAATTTGATGTTTGGAATATCTAACATACCTATATTCGGTAGCAAGGACCACCAACGTAGCTTCCCAATTAGAAATCATTTAAGGTGATCATTTTTGGATTATTTGTGCTATTGCTTTCCTCTACAGAAAGCTATGTTTTAATTACACAAATACAATATTTGAAGAAAATACCTCAAATAGGCAGCTGATGGCAGTGACGAATACTGTCTGAAAATAAAACAGCTTAAAAATATCAGACAAGGGAGAGTGTAGGAGGCAGAGAGAGAGGGTGAGCAGCTGGTGCATATAGCGAGCGAGACAATCAGGACTCAGGACTGGGAGGGCTGGGAGGCTGGTAGGAGGGAAGCATTCGAGGTGGGCGTTCGAAGGACTTCCCAAAGATCAGGATCAAAAGACAATAGGATAGAAAGTTTTGAAAGAAAGTGGGGAATGGTGTTGATCATGTTTAGGAGCAAAACATAAGGCTAAATAATTATCCACAATTTTTTCCTGACCTACTATTCATTCAACTACAATTTCTTGACCATCCATTCTGACCCACGAATCAGACTTAACGTTATCTCAGCCCATTGTGCCTGTGGGCAGGAAGATGAAGTCTGCACAGGCTCAGATGTGCATATTCTCCTTGGGCGATCTCATCCACATCCATGGTTTTAACCACAGCAGCTATGCTAACTCCCAAGTGTTCATCTCCAGTCGAGGCCCCTTCTTGAGCCCTGTACCTTACCTCCACTGCACCCAGAATATCTCCCCCTGGATGTCAGCAGGTGCCTTAAATTTGAGAGACCCCATGCTGAACTCATCTGCTTCCTGTCTAAACGTGCTCCTCTGCCCAGATTCCCCATACCCACCATTCAACCCACTTAATACCCAAGTCAGAACCTGGGGACCATTGGCCTCTTCTCCCTGTCCCTCACTCTGCTCCTCCAGGCAGGTGACCATGTCCAGTAATTCTACTTCCTACATATCTCACAGATCTGTATCTTCCTTTTCCTACCATGGGAATGGCCCTAAGTGTAGGTCACCATTTGTCACTGGGTTACCACTCTACCTTCCTCAGTGTTCTCTTCTCCTACCTTGTGCCCCAGGGACCCATTCCCTACTTGCCAGATTCATTTTTCCAAGATTCAAATCTGATCAGTCACCTGCTCCTAAAACCTTCTGATGAAAGCCCAACTGTCTTTAAAACAACATCCAAACTTGGGCACCTGGGTGGCTCAGTGAGTTAAATGTCTGACTCTTGATTTTAGCTCAGGTTGTGATCTCACAGGTCATGGGATCAAGCCCTGTGTTGGGCCAAATGCTGAGCATGGAGCCTGCTTGGGATTTTCTCTCTCTCTCTCTCTCTCTCTGCTCCTCTCCTCCTCTTGTGCTCTCTCTCTCTGTCTCAAAATAAATAAATAAAACTAAAAAACTAATATCTGAACTCTTTCGCATTTGTGACCAAAGCTCCCATACTCTCACCCTCCCTCTTTCCCACCAAATCATGGCTTTTGCTGGCAGGGTTTGGTCACCTCTGTGCCTTTGCACGAGCTACGAGCTATTCCTGCTGCCTCAGAATGCCTTTCCTCCTGTTTTCATGGATCTGATGCCTCCTCTTCTTCATGACTCAGCGTGTTGAATGTCACCTTCGCCAGGCAGACTCCCTGATTGCCCTTGGCTCCCGAGTAGTCTGGGTGAGGCACCCTCCTCTCACCTCTTACTGTGTCCAGTGTTCTTGTCTCTTCCTCACCACGGGTTGCACGGCAATATACTTGCTTATTTACACATCTGTCTCTCCCGCTCCAGTGTGAGGTTTCCCAGGGACAGGTATGCTGTCTTTCATGTCCGCATTCCTTGTGCCGAGTGTGTCGCTTGGCACGTCGTGTGTCCAGTAAATGTTTGTGGAATGAATGTGTGACCTCCTGTAGTTCTCTGTCATCTATAGGCTTTTAATCTCATCCTCCCTCTTGAGGAGGCCACTTCAGTGTAAGATAAGACTTCAGGATAGGACTGAGGATGTGCTGTAGAAATCAGTAAATCCCCCCACCCCACCCCCTGCTCAGATTTTGCTGCGGCCACACCCTTGGCACTGACACAGGCGCTCAGTCTGCAGAACGTCAGCCGGCAGCACACAGCCCTTCCCTTCCTCCCTGGCGCTGTCTTCGCTCAGCACAATCGCTTTTCCTTTTTGGGTGTTCAGAGCTCTGATAGCAGAGGGCTGGGTGGGAGGGTGGCAGCATCGGCTGTCTGCAGGGAGGCAGAAGAGCGAGTGCGGGAGAGCCAAGACGTGGGTGGAAGCATGCTATTGGGGCCTTTCGAGGGGGAAAGAAAATTCAGCTCCTTGGGGCTGCTCCGGTTGGAGCACCTGGGATGCACTTGTCCCCTGATGCTCTCTGGGAGCCGAAATTGCCTTGTTGATATTTAGCCTTCTGGGTAGTGGTGGGCTTTCTAAGGGAGGGAGGAGAGAAGGAGAGAAAAAGGAGAGAGAGAGAGAGAGAGGGATTACAGATTTTCAGAGCCAGCCCTGTACATTCCCTGGCTACCAAACCACTGGACAGAATCTTGGGGGTCAGGCTATGCTGTTTCCTTGTTTTTTTTTTTTTAATTATTAAAAAAAATTTTTTTACAGTTTTTTTTTTTTAAATTTATTGTTGAGACAGAGAGAGACAGAAGATGAGTGGGGAAGGGTCAGAGAGAGAGGAAGACACAGAATCCGAAACAGGCTCCATGCCGTGAGCTGTCAGCACAGAGCTCGACGCGGGGCTCGAACCCACAATCCGCGAGATCATGACCTGAGCCAAAGTCGGAAGCTTAACCAACTGAGCCACCCAGGCGCCCCTGCTGTTTCTTTGTTTTGAAGAATGTAGGGGAAGAAAGCCTGACACCTACTTCATTCATTTATTTTATTTTATAAACGTTTATTTATTTTTGAGAAACCATGATCAGGGGAGGTGCAGAAAGAGGAGGAGAAAGGATCCGAAATGGGCTCTGTGATGAGATGTGGGGCTCGAACCCACGAACTGTGAGATCATGACCTGAGCTGAGGTCAAACACTCACCGACTGAGCCACCTGGGCACCCGGACCTCACTCATTTATTCACTTACTACCTGGTTGATGCCAGACGCTAGGGCACAGTGAGGCATAAGGCTCAGCGCTCCCAGAGCTCACAGGCTAAGCGGGAATGGGCCCGGAAGTAGATGTGTTTCGACCCAGCAGCCTGGTGTGGTCTGGGATGGCTGCGAGAGCAAGGGCTCGGTGAGGTTGGAGGACAGATCACTGTCCACAGACAGGCATCCGCCCAGATGGTGACATTTCTGCAGTCTTGTTCTCATAACTGCCTCCAACTTCAACCCCTTAGAAGAGACTGTTAAACTCTGGCTGAGGACAGTAGCGTCACGTACGGTAGAAACAGTGCTGAATTCAGAGAAGACAACATCCTTCAGGTCCTGACTTGACGATTGATTGATTGATTGATTCATTCATTCATTCATTCACTCATTCAGTAAATGCCCTCGATCAGCTGTGAGACTTTGAAAAAATTAATTAATTAATTAATTCTCTGAGCTTCAGTGTTTTCGTTAATATAACAGATACTGTGACATCCACCGCGTCGTTCTTTCTGGAAGATTCCATGAACCCATGGAAGTGACGATGCTTTGTCAGCTGTACTGTGCTCTGCAAATGGGGTCTACCGTTTATCCCTCCACTCATGCACTCATTCGGGCAGCCGGTAAGTACTGAGTGCTCTCTTCTAAGGGCTGACAAGCCCCTCTTTGAGACAGGGGCCTGTTTGGTGCACGTGGGTGTGTATGCGTGCGTGTGAGTGTCTGTGAGTGCCCGCAGCGTGCCTTCATCGAGCAACAACCATCTGTGGCGTCTGCAGGGAAGTCCTAGCTGCCCCGGCCCCCAGCCCTCGCCCCCGGGTGCTGGCACGCAGAGACATGTTCTCCAGTCTCTCCCTCAGCCACAGATGCTGGGGCCTAGAGGAGCCCTGCACGGGCACATGACTCACAGCCTTAGTCACGTTGCCTGCGGGACTTCCCTTTCTACAAGATGATGACCCAAACTGACAGTGTGGCCAGAGCGCCATTCCAGGCTGTGTCCCAGTGGGGGACCCGAGCCACCAGGAAGGGACCTGGATTCATTGTTTTGCTTGTCCCCCAGCTTCCATGACACTCACATCAGAGGCGTCTAGGGGAACCTCTGGGGCTGAAGGGTGGCAGAGGCCGAGGCCCTGGCCTCCTGTAGGGCGGGAGACTGGAGGTCGCCTTTCATTGTCTCAGCAGATCTTGGCCGGCCACACTGTCAGCTCAATGTTTATAAAATGAGTTCACACACTTTCTCTCATTGGATTCCCACCAGGACCTGTGAGGCTCTTACTGGAGAGACCAGAATAGCGTGTGGTCTCGGGTCACCCGCTGCATTTGCAGCTGATCTGCTGCTTTCCAGCTATGAGACTGAGCAACCCCCTTAACCTTCTATGCCTTAGATCCCCCATTTTATTTTTATTACTATTTTTAAATCTTTTTATTTTTATTTTTTTAAAAATGTTTTTTATTTATTTCTAGGAGAGAGAGAGAGAGAGACAGCTTGAGCAGGGGAGGGTCAGAGAGAGAGGGAGTCACAGACTGAAACGGGCTCCAGGCTCTGAGCTGGCAGTCAGCACAGAGCCCGACGCAGGGCTCGAACCCACGAACCATGAGATCATGACCTAAGCGAAAGTCGGATGCTTAACCGACTAAGCCACCCAGGCACCCCTATTTTTAAATCTTTTTAAAAAAGATTTTATTTATTTATGGGGGAGAGGGGCAGGGGGAGAGAAAGAGGGGATCTTAAAGCAGGCTCCACACCCAGCATGTGGGACTCCATCTCACAACTGTGAGATCACGATCTGGTCAAAATCAAGAGTCCAATGCTTACCCGACTGAGCCACCCAGGCGTCCCTCAGATTCCTCATTTTAAAAATGGGGATCATTGGGGCACCTGGATGCCTCAGTCATTAGAGCATGTGATTCTTGAGCTTGGGGTTGTAAGTTCGAGCCCCATGTTGAGTATAGAAATGCCTTAAAAATAAAATCTTTGGGATGCCGGGGTGGCTCACTTGGTTGAGTGTCTGACTCTTGGTTTTTGGCTCAGATCATGATCTCACGGTTTGTGAATTGGAGCCCCGTATCGGCGTGGAAACTGCTTGGGGTTCAATTTCTCTCTGCCCCTCCCCTGCTTGCACATGTGCATGCACGCTCTCTCTCTCAAAAGAAATAAAACTTAAAAAAAAGAAAAGTCTCGGGGGTGTCTGGTTGGCTTGGTTGGTTAAGCACCCAAATCTTTTTTTTTTACGGTTTATCTTTATTTTGAGAGAGAGAGAGAGAGAGAAAGAGAGAGAGAAAGAGAGAGAGACAGTGCGAGTGGGGGAGGGGCAGAGAGAGAGAGAGGGAGACACAGAATCCGAAGTGGGCTCCAGGCTCTGAGCTGTCAGCACAGAGCCTGATGCAGGGCTCAAACTCACGAGCCATGAGATCATGACCTGTGCTCAGGTCAGATGCTTAGCTGACTGAGCCACCCGGGCTCCCCAAGATTTTATTTTTTAAATGTTTATCTACTTTTGAGAGAGGGGTAGAAAGCATGTGCAAAAGTGAGGGAGGGGAAGAGATAGAGGGAGACAGAGGATCTGAAGTGGGCTCCAATCTGACAGCAGATTGCCTGATGCAGGGCTCAAACTCATGAACTGTGAGACCATGACCTGAGCTGAAACCAAGAGTTGGACGCTTAGGGCGCCTGGGTGGCTCAGTTGGCTAAGTGGCCAATTTCCACTCAGGTCATGGTCTCATGGTTCGTGAGTTCAAGCCCCATATAGGGCTTTGTGCTGACAGCTCAGAGACTGGAGCCTGCTTTGGATTCTCCCTCTCTCTCTGCCCCTTTCCCACTCTCATGCGTGAGTGCATGCGTGCGCACTCTCTTTCTTTCAAAAATGAATAAATGTTAAAAAAATTTTTTTTAAATCTTAGAAAAAATAAAATAACAATGGGGATCATGAGGACGCCTGGCTGGCTCAGTCCGTGGAGCATGCAAGTCTTGATCTGGGGGTTGTGAGTTGGAGCTCTGAGCTGGGTGTAAAGATTCCTTAAAAAAAAAAAAAATGAGGATCATGATAGCATTTACTCTGTACGGTTTTTGTAAAGTTTAGTAGTTTGTTTATTGTTTGTCACTCCAAATTAGACCACACATTTTAGAAAGAAGAGATTTTTGTTTTGTTTGCTGAGTGAGTGTCTGGAGGGTTTAGGACAGTGCCGGACACAGAGAGGTTGGCAAGATATTTATAGAATGAATGAAGAAGCTTGGAACAAACCAGGCTCATAGTACATCTTCTATATGTTAGCTATTGCAGTCAGTTCAGGCTGCCATAACAGAAATACCATACACAGGGTGGCTTAAATACAGAAATTTATCTTTCACTGTTCCGAAGGCTGGCAAGTCCAAGATCAATGTGCTGGCTGATTTAGATCCTGGTGAGATCCTTTTTCCATTTTTAAAAAATCTCTGCACCCAACGTGGGGCTCTAACTCAAAACCCCGAAACCAAGAGTCACATGCTCTGCTGACTGAGCTAGCCAGGGGTCCCTCTCCATTTTATTTTCTGCAACACAGAGAGCTGTAGGATTTTGAGCCAGTCACTTAACTTCTTTTTTTTTTTTTTTAATTTTTTTAAATTTTTTATTATTTCTAGGAGAGATAGAAAGAGAGTGTGAGCAGGGGAGGGTCAGAGAGAGAGGGAGTCACAGACTGAAACAGGCTCCAGGCTCTG